CTGATTTTATGGGGCAGCCGAGCAGCTCCGAGCCCCCCTTCCCTTCCTGTCTGTCATCTCCTGAGTGTACTGCGCCCTTTGAGGCAGGCAGGAGGCCGACCTGTGGGCAGGGGAGACACCTGGGCCCCTGGGGGTCAGGGATCCAGGGACAGAGGAGTCTTTGCCCCACGGATCCCTCTCCTTTCTGGCCACCATCCCGGGAGCGCCAGGCTGCTGGTCACCCCGCCCTATCTCACTTGTGTCTCTGTGTCCCTGTGTCCTCCTGGCCCAGCAGGGAACCCGAGAGCTTCAGCCCAGAGTGAGTGGGACCCCACTCTCCACCCTTCAAGGGCCTCCCTCGGGCTGCTTCTCTGTGTCCCTGGTGGCTGGAGTCACAGACCCCCAAACCCCAACCTCCTGTGTGGCCCTCCCAGGCTGGGCATCCAGCCCTCAGCCAGACCCCAGGGCTCGAGCACTGTCCCCAAGACCACCCCCGTGTCCTGCATCAGAACCGGCCTCGGTCCCTGGACTGGCCACGTCTGACTGTCAGACTCTGGAGGCGGCTGCCCCTGCTCTTGGGGTCCTTCTTGCTGGTCACCCCAAGCCCAACCCGCCTCCCCCAATCCCATGGAGAAAGATTGGGGTCGGCCCTTAAGGCTGGAAAGGCAGAGGGGGAGCAGCCCCAGAGAGAGAAAAGTGACTTTCCTGAGACAGCAGAGGGTGGGACAGGCTGGGAAAAGTGTGAGAGCCACTTACCTAGGACCGTGAGGTGGGTCCTGCTGCTGAAGTCATTCCACACTGATTGAGGCTCGGGCCAAAACCCGCTGGGCCAGCACCTGGGGACCGCCCCCCGGGGGCCGGGCTGCAGTGGTGACCTGCTGGGCGTGACGGGCACAGGGCTGCAGTGGTGGGGGGGGGAGCTGTGTCATGGGGCGGGGGGAGGGAGCAGCCAGCCCCCTAGTGGCCAGGGCACCCTGGGTGAGCCCATGGCCCAGAGGCGTCTCTGTCCCCAGCCTCTTGTCTGAGGCAGAGGCCACCCATGCCTTGGAGTCACCCAGTGTGTCCCCCACCCCAGGCTGTCCTGGTCACCCCTGAATCCTCAGTGCTGATGGAGATGCTGAGGGCTGCGTGCCGGCAGGTGGCCATGTGATGCGGCAGTGAGTCCTGAGCTGGCTCGGACCTGCCCAACCTCTCCTGGCCTCATTTTAGGGCCTCTGAGTATTGCTCCCCAACAATTTCCCACAGTCCAGCCAGGTGGTTTCCTCCCTGGGCCTGTGGACACCAGGTCATTCCTGACTCCTGGTGCTCCATGTGGGGACGGCCCTGCCCCATTGTCTCCACCTGTTGAGACACAGTTCAGTTCCACCTCTTCCATGAAACATTCTTTGATCTCTCAGATCACTGTCTTTCTGATTTTCCATCCATCATCCATCTATCCATTCTCCCATCATCTATCACCCATCCATATATCCATCATTCATCTGTCCATCTGTCCATCTGTCCAACCATGGTTCCCAAGCATCCGTCTGCCAGGCATTGTTTTAGATGCTGGGACATAGTGGGAGGAGCTCCCTCCCTCTCACCCCCATTTCTCCCTGAAACTTCTCAGGTCAAGGACACCAAAGTCCCCAACCCAGTCAAGTCTGAGGTCCCTCCCCAGTCCCCTGTGCCCGACCACTCTCTCTACCTCTGACCCACACTGTGCTCTTTAACAACTGCTGGGGGGTCTTGCATCCCTATTTCCACTCCTGACATCTCTTTCTGGCTCTAGATTTACGCATATTCTGTCTCCTGAACGCATCTGAGCTTGAATGCCCTACAGACACGGCAAACTCAGCATTCCCCACCTGGACTCCGCACATTTCCCTGGAAGGCTTGCTCCCTCTCCGTGTCCTCATGTCAGTAGGTCTCTCCCCAAGCTGGAGGCCTGGAGCCATCCCCAAATGTTTTGCCCTCACTGAATCACCCTCTGTCTGAGCTGTCCAACCATAACACAATAATATCACTAAAATACTTAGAAAAAGGAAAAAAAAAACCAACACTCTAGTTATGCTCTAAGAGCTTATGATGACAAGAATGTTACGCTTTGCCAAATCTGCTTTTCCCTCCCAACATAGTTTTCTAAGCTGGCAGGTAACCTGGGACCAGCACTTTTCACCTCAGCAGCAGGATGATTTTGTCACAGCTCTATTTAAGGTGGGCACGTAAGCTTTTTGACACAAAATGTACTAGAACAGCAGTATAAATGCAACCCTTGTTTCTGATGTAAAGAAAGCAAACTTCCAGCCTTGCATTAAGTTGATCATCTAAGGAAACTTCCTCAACATGATAAAGGATGTCTCCCAAAACTTACAGCCAAATTCCCGCATAAAGGTAGAACTGCTTTAAAGACCAAGGTTCCCACCCTGACTTTTCACTAGTCAAGATAGTCTACAGATTTGAACGAATGGGATGAGATGAGGGGGGATGAGTGTTAGGAATAACGAGATAAAATTATTCTTTGACGATGCTGGGTTAGTCTACTTAAATAAAGTAATCCCAAAACACTCCGCTGGAGGAGTACTGGAAATAATACAAGCGTTAACGAAAACGACCATGTGAGAACGACAAGGGAAAGTCAGGTTTCCTCCGACACGGGCGGTTACCACCCTGGATAGGAAAGTGGCGAAACACTGACAACTTCAATAAAAATTCTGTTAAAACCCCTAGAAATAAACTTAACACAAAACGAGCAAGATTCCCGTGGATAAAACATATGCACCCTGACTAACGGACACGATAGACAAAGACATCAATTCTCCTCAAAGGAACCCATCTACTCCATGAAATTACAACACAGCACCAAAGGGATAATTTGAAAAACTTAGTGAACTGACTCTAAGTCCAACAGAGGGAATAATGACAGAAAACCAATGCAAATATTTTGAGTGAGTCATAATGACAGAGTCGTTCTCTGCTAGGTACCCAAACACACTGTCAATCAAAAATCATTAAAACGGGGTGGAACGGACATGGGAACTGATCATTAGATCAGCAGAACCACAGAGAGGATGCGATACATCAGTGATTTAAGATTTGACAAAAATTGTGTTCATATTCAACAAATGTATGACAATTGGCTCTCCATTTGGAAAATATATAAGGTTATATTCCTGCGTACGCTAAAGTAAACTCCAGGCAGAGAGAAAACACACAGCAGAGCAATGAAGGCCCCTGAATGAAATAGAAAAGAAAATCGAAAGAAAGATGCCTTTCTTCTGTTTGCCACTGATCACAGAAACAGCCAACCTGACATGTGAAAATTCAAAAGGCTTTATGGTGAAGCACCTCAGCAAAAAAGCCATAAAACAGACCAGGGAAAGATACTTATGCCACACGTACTTACCGAGGGGTTGTATTCCAAATAGAGAAAGAGTTTCAATAGAACTTTAAGAGAATACAACCAACCGAATGAAAAAAACACAAATCAAAAACAAAAAAGAAAACCAAGCAAAATTATGACTGGTAAATTCACAGAATAAATAAAATCACTCAATAAAAATATGAAAGGATAATAAGTTTCATGAATGATCAAACAAATAAACAACAAACATATTTGTCCTCATTTTTGCTCATCAGATGCGCAAAATAACAAAAGGATCAGTCCTGCCACGTTGTCGGCAAGGATGGAGAGGAGCAGGCACCGTCATTCCCTCTAGTGAGTGGAAGCTGGACCAGACTTTTGGGAGGATCACTGGTGCCACGTGTGAACATTCCAAAGCCTGTTCTCTCTGACCCAGCAATCCCACTTTTAGGCATTGTTCCTATGGAGACACTTAAGTGCACTTCACACACGTGCACAGCATGTGCACGTGTGTGGCAGTTTCCACTGTAGCATCTCTTGTAATTGATATTTTTAAATGGAAACAACCTAAATGTCCATTACTTGGGGAATGACTAGAGACATGCTGGTTCACCCAAACTGTGAAGCCTGACAAAGCCATGATGAACTTTTTACGGACTGATGGGAAACATGTCAACAGATTGTTTGAAAAGCTAGTGCAGGCTACTGTACAGAATACGACTCCGTGTTGGAAAAATAAAATCCCAACACGGGTAGGATGTGGGGGATGGTAACAGCAAATGCAGTTTTTACATTATACACTTTTGTGCTTAAATCTTTGTTTGAAAGCACATACTACTCTTGCATTAAAAATTATTTCAGAAGAAAAAAATGAAATATATATTCTTGAGAACATTTTTGTAAGTATAGAATATTATAAAGCAAAAATTAACACTAGGTGGAATCCCACCAGGCAGAGACATGCCCCTGAAATTTTTGTATATTTTCTGACCGGCTTTTGAAAATGCACATGTACTTTAAAAACCCAATTTCAGAAACATAATTTTGAAGGTTTGTGTAAGAGTCCATGGGTATTTAGTCCCACCCTTCCTGCTGGATATTTGGGTTATTTCCATTTTCCTCCTGTCATTAATAATGTTGAGTTTCTGGTCTGGAAGCCTCTGGTTATATCTCTGTAAATTACACAATTTAAATAAATACGCTTTTTTAAAAAAATGACTTGCTGCATTTTGCAAAAAAGGGTGTATGTTTTAGACTTGTATAGACAGTCCAGGTCAGTGCCTGTTCCTCCCCGTCAGCCCTCGGGCACCGCCACTTCAAATCCACTTGCTGTTTCCATCGGAGATCTTGGTACCTGGTCACCGTGGACCAGCCACTCCTCCATCCTCTAATCTGGCCTCACACCAGTCTCCGATCTGCTGCCATTTTTCCAAAACATGAATATAATTTTGACAGTCCCCCACTTAAATCGCTCCATGACTCCTGGACCCCAGGATAAAAGACCCCCAGGTTCTGTGCCGATCTCCCCAGCTCCAGAAGCTCCCTGCCGGCCTGTGCAACCCAGTCTCCTCATCAGCCCATGCAGCTCCCTTCACCTGGAGCTCGCATCACAGGTCAGTGCCCTGGGTCTGTAAGACCAGTTCGGGCACCTCCTCCTGTCTTACTGTTCCGAAAATGGTCCATAGCTCCTGTGCCTGGACATGACCCCCTTGGGTCAGGCCTGGACCCAGGAAACATTTAGGAGCCGTACCGAGGAGCTGAGCTCCCTGGGGGAGACTGAGGCAAGCCCTGGCTCTCTTCTCTGGATGCCTTGAAGACCATCCCCTCTTTTGGATCATTTTCGTAAAACACAGGTCATGCTGGTGCCTGTTCAGTCCTGGCATTTCTTAAAGTCCTGGGACTGCGCCCATGTGCTGTGTGATGTTGGGCAGGTCACCTCTATCCCTGTCTGGAAGATGGGGAAGAAGGCAGGATCTGCCTTGTGGGGCCGCTGCCCCTAAAATGATCAGTGCCTGCTGGGGACCCCCTGGCCCTGCCTCCCTGCTTCTCCCCTGCTCAGAGGACTGGGGCGGGGCAAGTGAGGCACTGGGCTTGGGGGCCAAATTTAAGGGGTTCCCCCCAAACTCAGTCATTGAAATAAATAATCTTTCAAATCAATGGTAAAAAATAAAAATCAATGCAAACAAATCCACACTTGACAAAATGTCAACACTTTAAAGAAAGCCAGTGTCTGCTCAGGCCCCTCCTCTCCTGCTGATCTCCTTTCTCACCACTCTCCCCTCCAGCCTTCCATCCCTGGCTCCCATCAAAGGGAACCCCTCTCCCCCTGTATTACAACTCGCTTGGCCCCTTACCTGTATCTCCGGCGCTGCAGGCTGGATGAGCTCCGTGCAGAGGCCCCGCTCCCTGCGGTGCTGCCGATGGGGGCAGCCGGCCAGGGGCAACTGACAGGCCGGCAGTAGTAGAGGCCGGTGCTGCCTGGGGCCAGGGCTCTGACCCCTGGGGTCTTCACGGCCCAGCTGGCCTGTCGTGGGCCTCATTGGCCCTCAGGGTCAAAGGCAACTCCAGCCCACCTGGAGGGAGGCCAGCAAGTGCCCCTGGTTTCTCTTGCTGGCAGTGGCTGCCCCAGTGCGCCCCAGCCGCGTGGCCCCTCCTCTGCCTGAGCTTTTTCTGTCCCAGGCCCCCTCCAGGGCCCACAGCCCTTACTCTTGGGGTCCGCTCCCAGAGTGGCATCTGCTAACTGCTCCGCTGAGGTGGGGATCCAGGGCTCAACCTTCACACCAAAGCCAGCCCCCAGCACTGCCCCCCAGGCCCCAGGTTCCGCACACCTGCCCCGCTGACGTCTCTGTTCCGCTAGGGCGTCTCCAGCTGTGGAGCATCTCCCAGCGGCCCGGCCGGGCTGTGGAGGGCGGCCGAGTACTCAGCGGAACAGAGTTGCTGAGGCCTGAGATCAGCGGGCCGGGGCTTCTCTTCTGACCAGTCCCCTGGGCTGGGTCCCTGCAGCCTCCACTCCGGCCAGTAGAGACTGCCCTTCCTTGGCCGGGTTGGCCAAGCCTGGCCAGCAGCCCCTGGTCCTCAGCCAGTCAGGGGTTCTGTGGGGAGGGGTCCTCTACCGCTTATTCAAGGAGTGATGTTGAAAGCAGCCAGACCTAGGTCACCTCCGGGCCTCAGTTTCCTTATCTGTAAAATGGGGGCAGTTCCTTTGCTGCAGGGAGGCCATGAGGAATAAGGAGATCACATGTCTGCTCAGTTGGGGTCTGTTTTGAAGCCCAGGAATGCAATACGGGACACACTGATGCAGTGATGAGAGGGTGCTGTTATCCAGCGCTGACAGTGGAGCCGACCGCCCGCTGAGCTGATTTTTCTCTTCTGTTGGCAGATGAGGACACTGATGTTCAAGCAGACTCTGAACATTCTTGATGCCACACCGTCAAGAGGCTGGGCCCTTGCCAGGCTCCAGGGTGTGCTTTGAGCTTGTGGCCTCTGTCTGGGTGCCGGTGCTGTCACCCTGCTCGGGTAGGAGGGACTCAGGGCTGCAGGCTGCATGTTCCTGCTTGTCACGGCCTCTCGCTTTCCAGTTGCTTTTCATCCCCAGGAGCTCTAATACGTCCACTCGAGCCCAGCTGTGCGGCCCTCCTGGTTTTCCGTTCCAGCAACTCTGAAAGAGGCCCCCCTACCCCAGGCCTCCCAAAGTCACTTTCCTGGGTGGTTCCTTAAGAGTTGTCTGGCCCGTGTTGTGACTCTCCTGCTACAACTGGTCCAGCCCCTTTTGAGACACGGTCACAGGCCAACAGCCAGGACTTCAGTTCTCCCACGGGGATGAGGACCGCTGTCCTCGGGTCTCACAAGCAAAGGCACAGGTCCCCTCTTGTTTGGACCATCTTTTCAATGATGTCTGCGTTAATGAATGAAACTGGAAAGTAGAGGCAGTGTCTCCCTCTGGAGAGAAACACACCGGCCGGTATCCTGCAGGGAGGATGAAATCCCAGACCGTCCCCAGCTCTGGACACTGATGGTAGTGAGCGGGAGGGAGACCTGAAATCGATGGTGGTGATATCGTGGTCTGACCAAACTCATGGAGCAGCTTTGGAAGAACCCCAGGCTGCCAGGCCCCGAGCTGCGGCCCGGACTTCACAACAAAGGCAGATCCTTGGCCTTGGAGATGGGCTGGGTGCTGAATGGTAATGTGGTGTGGGCGATGTAGCAGCCATCATGTAGGGTACAGGGGAGCCCCTGACCCAGTCCACTGTCTCCCCACTGTAGTGCTTGGCCCACTCCAGCCTCAGGCCTGGGCTCCTCACACCTTGGGGGCTGGGCAGGGTCCCTCCTCCCTCCCACTGCCTAAGGCACAGAAGCTATGTTTCCCCCCAGAACAGCCACAGTTCTTGGGGAGAAAAAGGGGCTGTCCCTAAGCTCAGTGATTCCAGATACCCGCCCCGCCCCCCACCCCACCACAGCCTCCGGTCAGCCACCACCGCAGACCACATCCTCCTGTGGTGGCTGTGGTCGGAAATCCGAGTCTGGCTGGACCCTGGGGCCCCTCGAGGGATGGGCTGGGCCTTCCCAGCTGGTGCAGGTGCAGCCCTGGATGCTCAGGGCTGCCCCAGCCTCTCCTGGACTGAGAATGTCTGAGGGCTGGATTCAGGCTCGGCCAGAGAGGTCCCAGTCCCGCTGTCCTGCTCGGCGGACCGCCTGCTCAGGGCCCCTGGCTCCTCTGTGCCCTGCCCCACCCACCCCCACCCACCTGGAGCAGAGAGGTGTGTCACGTCCAGTGTCTTCTACCCTGCTCCCCTGTCGGAGGGTGTCCCCTACCTCCTGCTGGTCAGCACTCCCTCGCCCCCTACTTGCTGTCCATCTCACAGGCCCCAGAGGCTCCTCCTGTGAGATGGAAGCATTTTTCTCAAAAGATATTGTATTGGCAAAGATGCACTAAGACGGACAGATATTTAAAATTCCCCCAACCTTTTAAAATTTATCTTCTTACGTAAAGGAGACTCTTAAGTGAAGGAGGAACAGATTCAACCACTAAGTTCTGCTCAAGCCTTTTTGGTGTTTATCCCCGATACTGAGGGCGGAGATGACCAATGGCTGTGGTGCACCCCTCTGCAGGGGGTTTTCTGAAGACCTGAGTCTGGGGTGCAGCCGGCTTGCGACAGGCTTGCTGGGGAGCGTGCTTGTGACCAGCGCCCGAGGGAGGCATTTAGGAGCTGCCCTGCTCTGCCCCTGCCGAGGGCTCCTGGGGCAGGTCCTAGATTCTGTGCCCTGGTGTCCCCAGGGTCAGCTCAGGGCCAGGGATAGTCCTGCGTGCTTGAGAAAGGTTTCAGGATGACAGCGACTCAGCGGGAACAGTGCTGCAGCAGAGAATGATGTCCCGGGACCAGGGCTAGAGAAACAGGCAAATTCGACCAGAACCAGGTCTGAGAGACACGCAGCCATAATTTTATTTGAACGTTAAAGGTAACAGTGGAGGAAGAAGATTTTATGTTGGGGTGATAACCCTCACACACACACGCTGAAGACCCGCCTGTAGGGACAGAGAGCAGACCAGCAGTCCCAGAGGCGGGGCCGGAGGAAGGGCCGCCCCCAGAGGCGCCTGGGGCAGCTGTGGGAATGACTGAGCTGCTGGCTGCTGCGGTGGCGGGACGCTTACATCTCTATATGCATTTATACATACTCATAAAGAGTTTCTAAAAATTGTGATGCTTAGTGTATGTAAATTATAACTTAAAAAAGAAGAAACAGTGGAAGAAGATTCCCAAGAGTCTCGCTGAGAGACTGTGAACAGCAAGTCCAGAGAGAGCAGACGGTGCCCTCCCCAGAACAGGGAGGGATGGAGGGAGCAGGTGTGGGCACAGATGGATCCTGGCCATCGGGCTGTCCCCGCCAGCCCACCCTGACCGTCCCTCTCTGTCCAAGGCTCTGTATTGGCAGCCCCCTCCCTGGCTGGTCACCATCTAAGCACACAGGGAATAATCTTCACTGGCCCCCCTTTTCCATCCCTGTCCTCACACCCTGTGGTCTGTCCCTCTGTCTGGCCATCAGATGCTCTGGTCGACTTTCTTCCATTTCTTAGCAGCAGAGTCCCCTGGGGTGTGGAAATGCTGGGACCCTCATTGGGGTGGGTTTGTCCCTGCAGTTTTCCTGGCTGCTTCCCTCCAGTGTAAGGGGGCAGGACCTGCCCCACGAGAGGACCTGCAGGGGCATGTTTGGGACAAAGTCACTGCAAACCCTTGGAGAGAACAACCGTTTCCTGGAGTGGGGGGATGAGATGGGATGGCCCTGTGTCCCCTGAGAGTGGAGCCAGACTCAGGTGAGAGAGGTCCCTGCTGGACTGAACCCCGGAATCCTCTCTACTCCTGCTCCCCTACGCCAGCAACCATCCTTCCCCGGGAGACCAGCCATCCCTCCCCTCCTGCCCTCGTGGACTCATCCAGGCCACAGGCAGCTCCTGGACTCTCTCTGTCAGCCCCCATCACTGGGGGCCTGGCTGAGGTTCAGGATCCAGCCCTAAAATCCCACCTGACCCCAATCAGGTCAGGGCCAAGGATCAGGGTTATTGGTCAACACAGCTGCTGCTCTTGGACTCAGTGGTCTGGGTGTGTGTGAAAGGTGCTGGCTATTCCATGGCTCAGAAAAGTGGGCAGATTCTGGGGTCTAAAGCTGGATAATCTGATGACCATTTTAAGGAAATACTGAGGTAATTGCCACTGGTCAGTTGTGTCCCTCTGACTGTCCTTCCATTCAGGACCTCTGTCCCCTATTCATGGCCTGTTCAGACAAGCCCAGAACACACTGGTCCAGCCAGGCCATGTTTCACTCCTGATCCACCGTGTGCAGAACTGCCTGGAGGGTGGGGGGAGGGCAGCCTGGGAGCTCAGATCTGGAGGAACCAGGCCAGACCTGTCACTGCTTTGTCCACAGGCCTCCTGGGGCTGGAGGAGAGGGTGACACAGATGGAGGGGGTTTGTGTCCCACTTCCCCATCTGCCTGTGTCACTGTGAGCATTGTAACCACTGCTGTCTGATGACTGACAGTAATAGTCGGCCTCATCCTCGGCCTGGGCCCCGCTGATGGTCAGGGTGGCTGTGCCCCCCAATCTGGAGCCAGAGAACCGCTCAGGGATCCCTGAGGGCCTGATGTCATCACCATAGATGACCTGCACACGGGCCTGGCCTGGCTTCTGCTGGTACCAGTTAGCACCATATCTTTCTAAGCTGTCTCCTCGGCAGGTGATCCTGGCCGTCTGTCCCAAGGACACGGACACTGCGGAGGGCTGAGTCAGTGCAGAAGAGGCCACAGAAGCTGCAGGAGAGGAGAGGAGAGTGAGGGTGGAGACCAGGGCCTCATTCCCTAGGACCATGCACCCCACAGCATCCCCTGTGCTGAGTTGATGTTCAGGGCCAGGCTGATCCCTGGGTACCCTGGGGGCTGAGCCCTGGAGGCAGCACCTGTGCAGAGAGAGAGGAGGGGGAGCAGGAGAGGGGTCCAGGCCATGGTGGAGGCGCCCTGAGCTCTGGCTCTCAGACCTGACAGCAGTGCAGGGCACACCAGGTCCTCTCTTATTTCCTCCTTGAATTCTGTGGTTAGTGAGTGGTTAGTGTTTATGCAAATGTCCTTCTCCTCTGGGGCTGAATTTGATCCAAAGCTGCTGTGGGCTCAGGACCTGTGACTCAGGAGGACAGACTTGTTCTCCCATTTCCTCCAAGCAGCTCCAGGGCAGGGAGTCTGCCCTGCCCTCCGATCTTTACTTTGGAGGATTCCTGGAATCACTGCTGAAGTTAGGGATCTGGTGCGTTAACTGTCATCTGCAGATGGTACAAGGCCCATTAGTGTAACATGTTTACTGGACATTTATTGATCTAAGTATAATTGCCAATACTTCCTGAACACAACTTTTTCCCTGTGTGGTCTCCATCCACCAAATCAGACATCAGCTCTCATGCCAGGCAGGGGTGTGCCTGGAGGAAAGTTCTGGCTCTTCTTTTCCAAACAGTCCACACAGGACGTGTTTATATCTTCTGTGCAGTCTCTAGGATTCTGTGCGTAGCAGGAGTTCTTGTGCCCCTTGCCCAGGTTGTCACATGCTAATTTAAATATTCTCCTGGGACATGGTCTTCCCCTGGGAAGGTCACTATCTTTGCAGGTCACCCAGATCCTCTTTCATTGCACCTCTAAGAGTTTGGACACTGGCTTGTTGAGTGAAGCCAGGTATTGTGAGGCTGTCAGGATGTTCTTTCTTTCCATGATGGAGAGACACATTCAGCCAACGAATGATCAGTCGGTGACTGTCCAGACACCAACCCAGTTCCTCCCCGGACGTGGTTTCAGATAAAGACAAAGCCTTTGGTATAACTGGGTGTCTACTGTGCGGTTGGGGAGGTACGTGGAAACAGAACAGGTGCTCTTGATGGCGACTGTGATTTACAGCACCCACACCTGGTAAAGCGTGATACTGGTGACCGGGTTAAGGTCAGCACTTTGGATAGAGAAGCGGTTGTTTGCCAGTTTCTTACGCACAGCTCCCCACCGCAGGCGACCTGCCTTCAATGTACCTGCTCATCGCAGGCTGACCTGTGGAGCTTTCATTCTCTGTCCTGCTTTCCCCACGGGCATCGTCCCCACTGCGTGGTGGCATCACTGGGTCTCCTCCAGCCTTACCTCTCCTCTTCTCCATCACTTCCGTGATAGGCTGCCCTCAGGCAAATCCCCCACCCAGCTTTCTGCTTGCCCCCAGGGCTGAGTCCCAGCGGGGGGGGGGGAGCACCTGCCAGATGAAGGGTGTGTGGAAGCGTGGGGGTGCTGAGGGCTTTATTTCTGTGTCCCTTCTTCTGTCGCCCCCCTCCCTGGGTGTGTGGTTCATCCCAGCTGCTGAGGGCTGCACGGTGACACTGATGGGAAGTGCAAACGGTGTCCCTTGAAAAGAGTCACAGCTGGGCCAGTTCCCCACAGACTCTGACATGGTCCCACAGCGCCCCCTGCTTCTCGCATGTCTCCTTTCTCCAAAGAGATTTCAGGCCTGAAGGACTCATCTTTGGGCCTCTGACTGACTCCCTTGCTCCTTTCTTGAAAACCTCTAAGTGAAATATCTCAAGTTTACACTCTACCTGAGCTTAGAAGTTCTCATGTCCAGCCAGTACCTCACTATCAAATACTGTCCGTATCTTCTGGCACATTCTGACACAAAGGAAAGCGTGTGGTCACTTGGAGACTCCCTTTTGGATTCACCCCAAAGTCTGGTTACTTATGGACGTGAGGATTCAGGGGGCCTGGGACTCCTTGCTCTGGGCTGGATGTCTATTTACTAAGTCTTTTCCAATTCCTTGGGGGAGGGACCGAGGGAAGACAGAGTGAGGGGATGTGACCCTCCTCCACGGGGCTGGGTTGGGTATTTCAGACGTGTTGATGTGATTAGCTGGTGGCCCTCACATTGTAACACGTGTCTGCCAGCTGCAGGGATTTGGGCGGCTGAGATATCAATAAACGTCTGGAGATTATTTGCCTCTATGAAATTTGAACCATAAATGGAGCCCAGGGACTCCCTGAGAAGTGCGGGTGACTTCCAGTCACGTGATAAGGAGATGAGAGAGGAAGGAAAAGAAAGCTCTTTGCTTAATATGTGAACACAGAGACACACACACACACACACAATTGAAACAAAGTAAAGAGGAGACACCCCTGACGCCTGCAGCATTCACGTCCGTGGCTGGTCCCGCAGGCACAGCTGGGAGCCACAGCCCCCTCCTGCTGCTGCCCAGACTCTGTTCCCTTC